AGGACGGTGTCTGTTCGTGCAAAGACTACTGGTGATGCTGACCAATGGGAAAGAATGCTAGTTACGTTTGAATGATGTTTCAATGAAGACTAGACCCCTGTAAGTTATCAAGAACAGAAAAGAAGAAACGTAAACCCACTTGCATAATGTTTCAGGCTGTACAACACTCCATGGAGATGATTGATTGAGCCAAGATTGCACAAAGCAAATCAGACTTTGCCATTGAGTCCGGAACAAATAAAGCCGAGTGTAATGGCATGGCTTTCGGGGGATGCGCTGGCTACATTAGCGTGTGATAAGGCCATTCTTGAAGAGGACTTGGCTCAATTCTCAACTAGTTCTATACAAACTCTAAGGCCTTGCCGTGCTTCTCTCAGGCCGTCCATCTTGAAAACAAGAAACACCCCAACGACCTCATTGGGCTATTTTGGTTGGTTCACCAGGGAAGGATATATATAGACAATACGCTTGATGTATACAAGAGGTGTGGGGTGCTGTGATGGCCATTAATTTTTTTCTACTACATATTTGACCGTGGGGTGCTGTGATGGCCGTCCAACATCCAGCACCGTCCCCCATATGTGACCGTGATAGAGGTGATGTCTCTCACGGCCAACACCGCTTTATTCCCCTCCCCAAATTAGTTTTTTCAATGCTAGTTTCCCCCTTTTTTTAGTGATTTTTTTGTTTTTCCATCCTCTCCCCACTTTATTTAAATAATCTTCTCCAACTTTTGTCTATTTGCGACAATTTTCTTTCTTAATCGACATAATCTTTCCTTTTTAATTTCTTTTAAATAAAGTGAAAGAGCTACATCATTGTCAAATTCGGAGTGCGGTTCGAGATATACGCCATGAAGTGTCATGTGATTCCTATTGAGAAGGGATTGCTTGCTAAACCAAGTTCGGTGCTTTGACGTAGTTCAAGAGGACCGAACAAACTTATGGTACGTTCTATACAACTTATTTTTTCTGCTCATTACTCATTCTTATTAAATTTTAAAAATAATATCAATATTTTGTCAAGGATTAAATAATAATTACTATTTCATTATATGACATTACTTTATTTAAAGATACATACACCTAAATATTAATTACAAAATGATTTTTTTGACATTAGAACCTCACACCACATTATTTTCTTATGCCAGAACATCTAATTAAAGGTTCTACGCTTCCACATCAAGCCAACTGCATTGGAATGATAAAACACCCAACCTGCCATGCATATATATATATATATATATATATATATATATATATATATATATATATATATACACACATACATATACATACACACACACACACACACACACACACACACACACACATATAGTGATTGGAATATTTACTAACATAACTACAGAAATAATAATTCCTTGCAATGCAATTACATGAGGTCTGCGTACACACACCCTTCCCAGACCCTACTGTAGTGGGATCCAACTGGGTTGTTGTTGTTGTTTGTTGCAATGCAATTACATGCATGAAATAATGATAACTTTCTACTTGTAAGTACAGTAGAAATAGTCATATAAGGAAGAAATAAATTATTTCCATTCCATAAGGAGCATATTAATGTGAAATTTAAAACAAAACAATTTTGACTATGAAAAAAAAAGCTAGACAAAGACCATCAACTAGGAAGCATCCTCAGGAAACATAATTCCTCCTGTCCTAACTTGTTGCCAATGAATTGACAAATATATTATTTTTTAACAGCATTCAAAGCATTTGGCTTCTATGCCTTTCACTGAAAGACAGAGAGCCAATAATTCGTCTCTGGCTGCGGCTTCCACTTCTTCGTCGACGCAGTGGGGCTCCTGTGGCTGAGGGATGAAACTACGCGCAGTGTACACATAGAATCCCACACTGAGTCCCTCAACTCCGGCGACGGCAATCCATAGTTTGTCACGAGGAAGGAGGATTTCAAGGAGTACGGCCCCAGAGCGGCCTGTGAGAAGGAAGTCGGCTGAGAAGCTCATGTAGTCCCTGAAAAACTTCAAATTCTTCAAAACAAAGGAATCTCTTCTGTGGGGGTGGGGTGCGAGCAAGAAATTGATAGACCATTTGATGGAGAGGAGAGCTGCAAGTGCTGAGATCAGATTAAAGGTGCCAACGAGTGCTTCCCAGAGGATGTCGAAGTCGTAGCTGCCCACTCTCTTATGAGCTAAAACCAAGGCCGCATTCCCAGCACACTGAAGGCCCATCACAGCAATCAAAACAATCTTCTCCCTCTTGAGCAGATACGGCTTCAAGAACTTCCATCCACTGGCAATCAAGAGCACCAAAGTGTAAAAAGAGAGGCCCTTCAGGAGACTGAAGGTGTAAAACCAAAGCTCCCAAGCATCACCAGATCCGGTTCGCATGATACGCCACTCATCCTGCCCCTGGCAAAACATGTTCAAGGCACTCAATAGCACCACGGCCAGCATAAAGTAATGAACCCCAGAAGCATAGGCCCTGTGCACGGACAGCACGCGAACCCAAACCGCAACCAGAACCAGATAAACCAAGGAAAAGAGGTAGTAAACCAAAGGTAATGTGGTGCAAGTGAGATAATTGCGCTTGTCGTCCTCATCCAAATTGTACATGGAAGAGCGGACGCGCATGGATACGTTCATCTGCTGAGGGCAATTAACGAAGAGGAGAGTGCAGAAACCAGGTTTGGTGTCCGAGTAGACGAAATTCAACCGCGAGGTGTTGAGATTGGGGAGCTGGTCGAATGTGAGGACCTTCTGCAGGTTATCCGCTTCTAGAGGGCAAACAGTGGAGTTGAAGTCGTCGACTGAAATTAAGAAACCGCCGTGCCGCTGGATGACAAACCCCACTTTCGAGAGGTTGGCCGGCGGCAAGAAGGAGAGGCCGGTGATGTTGAGCTCCAGCCGCCCGGTCTGGGTGAACATGAAATCGTCCAAGGGGGTGAAGAAGCTGTTGTCCATACTGATCTCGCTGTGCCGGATTTCGCCGGCGGCTAGATGATATGCAGCCGCAGCAGCAAGCGCGATTAGTAGTAGTAGTAGAACACGAAGATGGCTAACCTTGGAGTAGTACATCTGCGGCTGCCTGCCTGTGGGAGACGAAATCCAACCAAACAATTGACTTCTGGAATTCTTATTGATCGCAAATCAAAAGTCACAGGATTCCCAAGAACGAGAAGAAGAAGAATAGAAAGAAGAAGCAACGAGTTGTTGTTGAGCAGTTATAGCCTATAGTCCGGACTGAAATTCTCTCTTCTTTAGAGTTCTACTTGTCCTCCACATCCCATCTCTTTCTTTCTTCCTTTTTCAAATTAAAAAATTAAGTTTTTCTCTTTTTTCTTTATTTTAAACAATTTATGTTGATTCTCTCTCCTAATACTATGGTCCCGTTTTGCATCAGCGTCAGAAGTTAGTGTTAGCATTTTACAAAAGCTATCTAACGGTAACCTTTAGCGATAGCGTTTTCAGAATTATTCTGCTTCGTTAAATTTTTATCCAAAACGCTAATGTTAATGAAAAACGCTGTTACCAAACAAAGCCCATGTCGAGAGCCCTTATTCTTACCATTTAAAATTTAGTTCGGGTACAATATTTATACAATACTCTTATGGGGTATCTCGTGTTTGTAGTGGAGGATGCACTCTAAGAGCATCTCCAACCCATAGTGGAAAAAATGATAGTGTAAAATTTATTTTACACTAACATCAGTGTTTAAGACATTCACTTTTTTATACTTCAACCATATCTTCTATATAATACATTTTTATAATATTTTATTATTTTAAGTTATTTATATGTTTAATTTTTGGTTTAATAACCAATCTATAAATAATATTTTTAGTATCATCTAAAACTAAATATTGAAATAATTATTTAAACATTTGGTTTGCACCATCTTGTATATATACAAGTTGGGAATTCCTTTTCCACTATAGTATTTTCTAACCTTTGGTTTACACTATCCATTGGAGTCTCGAAAAATGAATAATATATTGCATATAGTGTAAATTTTACCATATACACTATGGGTTGGAGATGCTCTAATCGAATTGGGGGCATATGCCCCCTATTCATTTTTTGCAATAATATAATTTTTTTTAATTTTGTGTATGTATGCCCAACAAAAATTAATGTGACCCCACCTAATTAAGCTAAATTTAAATTTTTTGTTATGTTTTTTAGTAAAGTATATTTTATTGTATATAATTAATTATTTACGAATTCAAATTTCACATTACCTATTTAAAAATGTTTTACATTCAATACATCTTAGAAAAAATTCATTACTGCATGTTCCGGGCTAGATCCGTCACTGCATGTTCGTTAAATTGATTGTTCCTACTAGGGCTATACAAAATCCAGGTTGGATCGGAAAACCAGATCAGAAAAACTAGTTCCAGGTTAGACCGATAAAATTTCAGACTGGTTTCCAGTCTAAAGATTTTGGACCGGTAAAATTCTTGTCCATCCAGCTAAGACCAGATCATTTCCAGTCACACCGGTAAGACCGAAATGTCTATTATTGTTTTTCACGGTAAAAGCAAGTTTTCCTTTTTTTTTGTAATCTATTATCCCATTTTATCTAGTCTTGTCTTACACGGTCTACATGCATCTCAGACGTTTCTCGGCTAGGAGACGAGTAATCTCTCTATTTTTTTTTCAGATTTAGAAATTGGGAAACAAATTCCCAGTTTGTCCTTTTAGTATTTTGTCCTTAAATTTATGACCATTTTTGTGATTTGAATTCTAAAAAAATGATTTTTCCATTTACAAAATGAATTTTACTTGAGTTAGACTTTAATTTGTTGTTTTCAATAAGAATATATTTTTCTTTATTCGTATTTATTGTAATTCTAAGCAAGTATGATTATTTTTATTTTTGATTTTACAGTACAATGAATTTGGTTGTATAGTATGCGCGGAGTATAAATCATTAACTTTGATGATTCCTTGTTCGCATATTTGTGAATATGAACATCTATATTATAAGACGCATTATAAGATTAGGAAATGTTCAATACGCGTAGGTATCCGTACGCCTATGCCAGAGGTTTAAAACGCCCTGTGTTATAAATATCTAACAGACGAGCCAGAATCCAAATCCACAAAACCAAATTAGGGTCGGCCTTAACAAAAGAGAGAACACAAAGGAAGAAGAAGCAAACTACTACTACTATTCACCATTTAAGATGACTAAACAAAAATTAAGCCCGTACATTGTTATTTATAGAATTATTTTTTTCCAAATCGGTATTCACCTAAGGTTAATTTTATATTGTTTTACGAGTGAGAGTAAAGATAAGGTTGGAAATAGTAGGTTTAGATGTCTTTAGTAGTCTTTACAGCATCCGAAAAAATGTTGCATACCTTATAAAATTTTCAAAATGTCCTAATTATTAGATTGGTCGCTTCAACAAGTTACAAAAATGTGGTGGACAAACGAGCAACAAGCTGCGCTGCAATGCACTTTCGAATAGCAAACCTCATATTACTAAAAACAAAGTTCTGAGCCTTAAGGTTCGAGATATTACTATGCACGACCCTCTGAACCCTACTAAGAAATTCCAAAACAGTTGGGGCAAGAGAACCAAACGTATCAAAAGCAAATGGATAAAAAAAATGTTAATTTTCCAAGCAAGTTTTCTCGTGTTTAGCCATGCGCTTTTCCTACTCCACCTTCAAAACTGTATGGCCAACAAAAAACCCATTTTCTCTGAGCCCAATAAGAAGAGACATATCAGTACGATCCACACAATCGTTTTTCTCCCAGCCCACCCAAACACAAGAATATTGGCAAGTCGTAGAGTACATATCCCTTCAATTAGATTCATCAGAAAGTTCACATATTAGAGCCTTCTTCTTGGCCCAAAATCTCTATCCTCTTTGGAACGTCATATAGAACATCACTGATAAAACCAGGTATCCAAGTAACTTCTTGCAACATGCCGCATGCTCACCGACCAAAAGTATCTTGTGGCAATCTCGGGAAGACTAATCAACTAGAAATAGAGGAACACGAATAAATCTACGAAACTGACAGATCAATTGAGCAGAATTTAACAAGATATTCAAAATACTAAAAAGAAACCAGAACTGCAACATCTATGCAGATAGCATGAGGGGAAAAAAAGGTACATTCTGCAAGAGAATATTGTACACTTATGTTTCCGAAAGATAATCATCTGTTAAAGAAAGCAGGCGGTCAGGGGAAATCAAGCATCTATATCAGGCAACCAAAGTTTTTCGTCGCAAACCTGATTCCCTGTCGAAATAATTACCTATTTGGTCATCTTTCCACATCACATAGCCATGGAAGAAAATTGATCAGTCAGAGCATAAATACAAAGCCTCAGTTCCAATAAAAGGACTTATTAGGCTGCAGATCCCTCTTTCTATTCATTGTGTGATTATGGGCTTATGGAAAGTGAGAAGATGCATCAGAATTTCAAGAGAAAACTCACTCCAAACGCGAAACCTAAAATTTGCTCATGACTAAAAGAACAGGCTTCAAACATAAATAGTAGGCCATAACATGCAGGCAATGTAACCCATAGACATTAAAGAAACCTCACAAACAATGTTGCTTATAAGAGAACATTTTAATCACATGATTTAGATATCCTACATATAATGCATAGTAAAATGAGGCTGATAACAGATCTTTTCAGTCAGATTACAGATGAGTTGTCAAAGATCACATATTCCAACTTCGGCTAAAAAAACTGGATCTAGGAGCAGTCAGGAGTATGTCAAGCACAAATAGTCTGGCATCATCAACAGAGTCCTATAGGTGAGATAATTAATGTAAAGACTGGCTATACTTTGCTGGTCATTAAAGCGAATTCACATATCACACCGATTTATCTCTGGTGGCCTAGGTATAAGTGTCTCAGTTTGAAACATGGTACCAAGAACAATAAACTTGAATCAAACATCAAACAAACAAAGAGACTGCCACTATGTCAAAACATGGGGAAAAGCCCCAAGTCCCCAACAGATTGAAATCACACGAAGTTGCTTTGCGGGGTACTAATGGACAAGCACAATACAGTACCAACTAGCAACGTGAACATGCTAAACAAACAAGATGTCACATCAATTATGGGCAAAGCAGCAAATGGAAAAGGCCAAACAGACAATGCAACATTAATAGTTTAAAAGATGCATCCAAGACAATCAGTGAATCACCTTTCAATCCTGCCTTTGTGGTGGTAATCCGTTCTCCCGTAAATAAGTAGGGAGATCTTCCATGCAAACAACAGCGGAATGAATTATAAGCCCTTCAAAATAACCTCCCGAAATGTAAACTGTAAAAAAACAGAACTAAATTAGTCATAAATATTGATTAATATTGAGTAGAGAGAAACGTAAAATTAAAAGGAAAAAACATACCTGTTAGAGTACCACCTGTAGCCTCATCCTCGCTTGCACTATAGCCAATAGCTCGGCTTGCAATTTGAACCGCTCCATGGGAAGAGGTATAGTCTTTCCACCATTCCACCTAAATACCCAAAAACAATTTATCAAAATATTAAATTACTTAAATAAATAAATAAAAAAATCAGATAAAAAAACATTAAAGATAAATGAATACCGATGTTTATGTAGAAATTCAAATGCTTTTCTTCCCCCACTTCCAATGCACAACATATCATATTCTGAACTGATGCCATGTGATTGTCCTGCTTTGTCAACATATGCAATCAAATAATCCTACAAATAACGTTTAATATGTTAGACCATACAAAAAAACTGAAAATCAATACAAAAAATTTAATAAACCACAATTTAAATATTGAATTAAACTTACCTTTTTCCGCTCTTCATACCCAGCTAAGATAACATTAAATTTATCTTTTGGACTCAAATGACGAACAAGGGAAGTCACTAGGTCAAGTGCATTCTGAAAGGTGTAATTATTATATCCATACTGTTGGACCTGAATGCAGTATGTAATTCATGAAAAAATAAAACAATATTACAATAACATAAACACTAGTAAATACAAAAGGTTTACTAACCTCAGCTCGCAAAGAGTTAACAACGCTAGTGGCAATGGCGGATTCACCGCTAAACACAAAAAGTACGGTCCGAGACACCACAAATATCTTTTGAAAATCATTACACACTATATAATAAAATACAAAACCAAAAAAACAAATTAGCAAATGAGATAAACAAGTAAATAAAACCGAGTAAACATCGACTAAAACCAAGTTACCTGTGCGGTTATTAATGTCTACCAGTCTACTATCAGCAGCTAAGCAGAGGGCAGGCCTCTGTGTATGCATGTCTACGTACTTGAACGCTAAGGCGGTGGTACTGCTCCTATGGATATATCCGCCAATATGGATTAATTAATAGAACGCTAAGGCGGTGGCTCCGATAAAACTTAGACATCATATCTTTCAATAGGCTTAACATTCTGATAAAACTTAGACAACATATGTTTCAATAGGCTTAACATTCTGATAAAACTTAGACATCATATGTTTCAATAGGCTTACAACCACACTTATCGATCACCTCTTAATGAGGACCACTCTAATGTTTCGTTCCACAAGCTTCTTTAATTGATCATACGCCCACTTGTGAACGGGATTTCCCCAAATAATTAACACTAACAAGACATCGCTTCATTGTGCGTAAAAGATATAGATGATCACTAAATAACTCGTATATAATTTCTTAGGGAGAAAAAACAAGAATCATTAAGAAACCACTTTGTGGATAATACAAACGACTCAGTACATAATTAGGAGGCCTTAAAACTGTATTTATTACGCTGCAGATCACTCCAAACGCAAAACCTAAAATTTGCTCATAACTAAAAGAGCAAGCATCACACATAAATAGTAGGCCATAACATGCAGGCAATGTAACCCAAAGACATTAAAGAAACCTCACACACAATGTTGCTTATAAGAGAACATTTTAATCACATGATTTAGATATCCTACACATAATGCATAGTAAAATGAGGCTGATAACAGATCATTTCAGTCAGATTATAGATGAGTTGTCAAAGATCACATATTCCAACATTGGCTAAAAAAAGATATTGGATCTAAGAGCAGTCAGGAGTATGTCAAGCACAAATAGTGTATAGACTGGCTATATTTTGCTGCTCATTAAAGAGAAATCTAATATCACACCGATTTATCTCTTGTGGCCTAGGTATAAGTGTCTCAGTTTGAAACATGGTACCAAGAACAATAAACTTGAATCAAACATCAAACAAACAAAGAGACAGCCACTATCACAAAGAGATTGAAATAATTAACACTAACAAGACATCGCTTCATTGCACGTAAAAGATATAGATGATCACTAAATAACTTGTATATAATTTTTTTAGGGAGAAAAAACAAGCATCATTAACAAATCACTTTGTGGATAATACAAATGACTCAGTACATAATTAGGAGGCCTTAAAACTGTATTTAGATGGCTGCATTCAAACGCACCCCTTGCTAGCATTCTGATAAAACTTAGACATCAAATGTTTCAATAGGCTCAACATTCTGATAAAACTTAGGCATCATATGTTTCAATAGGCTTAACATTCTGATAAAACTTAGACATCATATGTTTCAATAGGCTTACAACCACAGTTATCGATCACCTCTTAATGACGACCGCTCTAATGTTTCTTTCCACAAGCTTCTTTATTTGATCATAAGCCCACTTGTAATCAGGATTTTCCGGAGTGCTGCTTCTGCCATTCGCCTATGTCACGATTAAAGATCACCAATTTAACCCCCTCAACTCCCACCTGGAACACTTCAAAACCGGAAAAACATAACAGAACATATTCATCAGAACATAAAAACACAACGTATGAGCCCTTACGTAGAGGCTTTATAATATAAGAACCACAATCTTCTCCAAGCACAAACAAACGTGTAAGAATGTCATGACTTACCAGTGACACATTCACAAGCTTCACGATAAGGATATACAGAAAGACAGAGTGCTCCTTCCGCCATTTTAACGGCATCATCCATGAACATATGCTTGTGAGGCCTAAAGGAGACACGGGAAACAGGGAGAATTCTTAAGATTATCAGGCGGACTTGCAAGAACACAGGTAGACGAATCACTGGAGCAGTAGAAAATCTATTGAAAGTAATTTTTAAACAAAAAAAAGTACAATTTCCTACAACTTGAGAGTAAGGCAAGAACCATTAGAGTAAGAGGCATACCAAGTAATTAAAAAAAGTCCAGCGGAACCACATCCAGCTGAGCAAAGTGGCTGTTTCCAAATTTTCCCCTCAGCATCCACTTGAAAAAGGGAAGGTCCCTACGAATAGAAAAATCAAGGATAGATTCCATATGTATAAGTGTGTGTGTGTGTGTGTGTGTGTGTAAAATAGTAAGCAAAAATAATGATCACAAAGAAAGGAGCATTCTAGAATTATAACCAATCTGTTGTCCAACCCAGCAATCGGAACTCCATAATACGTGCTCAGCAGAACACAACCGTAAAAGAAAGAAAAGAAAGAAAGGAACATATGGAGTATATTTTTACCAATTCCTTGTCCCACCCAGCAATCAAAATTCCTTTGGGCAAATCATCACCACTGTAAGATGTTTCACACCCAGCAAAAATCAGTTTTGGCAAACCATCATCATCCCTGCGGGGAAGGTTACGGGAGACAAGACCACACATCCACTTGGTTGCTTCTTCGGCAGAAGCTTTTCTCCCTACCTCGCGTTCATGTTCGTTGCACTAAAACAAAGGGACAAATGAATTCAAAACATTCCACTGAAATCTTTTCAAATTTAAAGAAGAACACAGAGTCATATATATATATATGTATATATACCTTCTTTTGAAGATAATGGAGGAATTCTTTGCGGCAATCCTTGCTGCCACCAGAAATAGCTACAAGCAGGTGCGGATGGGGCACAATGGCGTTTTCAGGAAACGCGCCGTCTGGTAAGCGTGGATGATCGATGGCTACCATAACAACTTCCTCTTTGAAGATGAACCCCAGAGTCGTGTTTACCTTCGACTCTTCAAACCCTCCCATCTACGAATATCACCGCCGATAACAAATAAATCAACCAGAGAAAAGAACAAAAACAAAAACACCATTTCCATATATTTACACAGATCTGATCTGTTAATCCAAAAACACCTTCCTTCCTTCACCCGACCAAAACAAACCCAGAAAAATAAAATTAATCGGATTTTCATTGACCTAACACACGAGCCGATTTTACCTTTTCACCTTCCAGTCGACTGTAGATAATATTTGTATTCCTGCCGAATTGCTTCTAACACGATAGCCTCAAACCTAGATGCACAAACATATATTATTCAGAGCCTTCACAAACTTATTTTTTCTGAATTTTAAATTAAACTTATTTTTTCTGAATTTTAAATTAAAGAAATCCCCATCAATAGCACAAAAAAAACTAAAAAGTCTAAAATAGCACTGCTATGGGTTCTTTTACTTTCGTAGGAGTGAATAGTGTATTAGGCATGATATTATTCCTAATCTACCCTTCTTTTAGTGCCGCAAAAAAAACACCGCCACCGCACCCTAACTTTCTGCTTTAGATCCAATTGTTCTCAGGCTTTTTTCAATGTCCTCGATGTTTGATAAGCCAAAAATCCAGCCATGGATGAACTGAATTGGCAATGAAAGGTACCAGTTTTTTGATGATTTTGAAGTGATTCTGCATCACTTTATGTCAGCGGAGTACGATCACCATTGTGGATGCCCGATTGTAGTGGTAGATGAAGTGAAAGTGATTCCTATCAACTATGTTGAAATTTAGAATTCTCTACCGCCCCCCCTCGCTATCAGATCCACCTATGTCTCCTCCGATACAACCGGGAGGCAGTGTGACACTGTAGTGGTGGAGGGTGGCAGTGTGGCGGCATGAGGTGGTAGTGTGGCAGTGAATTTTATAGTGTGGTGGAAGAGGGAGGTAGCATGGAGGCGTTGATGGTTGTGGTGATGATGATAGTGTGGCGACAAAAGGTAGTGGTGTGACGTTAGAAGTCGTTGTGTGGCGTCAGCATTGGAGGCACTGTGGTGACGGTGTGGTGGTAGTGTGGAGATGGAGGTGATAGTGTGGCAGTGAAGATGGTGGTGTTATGGAGAATTTTTGCAGTGTGGCGGTACAGGTTCGTGCAATCCGGCGATGACAATGGCAGTGTGCTGTGGGGGTGGTTGTGGAGGTGATAGTGGCAAGGTCGCAGTGGGTCGGTGGCGGATGCGATGGAAGTGAAGTGATGACAACGATAGCGTGGTAGTGGCGGCGGCACAAATTAAAGAGATATGTGGTGGTGGTGGGCGGCGACAGTACGTGTGGCGGCGGTGGTGGTGATGATGATAGTGTGGTGCGAAGGAAGGCAGTGTGGTGATATAGGTGGTAGTGACAATGGCAGTGTGGCAAAAAACCTGGTGCTAATTGCCATAAATTTGGTGAATCAAATCTCATATACTTATTATAAAAGGGCAAAATTGGCATTTCAAACACCCATTGCCATGCGGGACTTCCATTCTGAATAGTAGTGCTATTTTGGGCATTAATCACATATTCTAGTGCTATTTACGTACTTCTCTTATTTGAGTGTATCTTATTTCTAGGAAAGTGTTAAAAAGGTAAGTTTGTAAATTTTATGAACGGTTTGTTTGTGACTCTAGCATTACTCGCCATTTAAACCTCGGCTCCATCCGCTTTGGTTGTAAATACAAGGGTGTGCATTAGATAAATGAAAATAAATTCTAAAATTAAATAAATAAATACTCCCTTCCTCCTCTTTTCCCCTTTCTTTTTTTTAGTTTTGACCCTTTTTTTGAGTAATTTTTTTGATTGCATGTGTATAATTAAAAATAAATAAAATTTGTAGATTAAGAATTCACGTCAAAAGTTTTACAAAACTGCTCAATATATTCAATTCCAACTTACAAATTACTCCGAGATTTGTCATTTTCTAATATTCAAAGCCAAAGGGAAGAAATGGGCAGTGTAAATTCCAAGCTGTTATGATACAATCAAATAATAGATTTAGAGAATTTATAGACACGTGACCTGATATTTCAAGCTGACATCTTCAAGTATTCATTAAACATATCACTAGCGGTTCTGTACGCCATCCGACGAAGTGCAGCGGTGAACTTTTGGATGCTACTAAAACTGCGCCAATCTCTCGCATCAAACTATTGGGTGAACCAAAGCACATCGTGTTCAATATCGTATAGTATTACTAAAAATAAAGAACTCATCCGAAAACGATTAGGATGAAGAAGAAATCATTTTTGTTTAAATATAGGATATTTTTTGGGTGGGTTATATAGAGAGATTGAGAATATAAGATATTGTTTTTTTTGGATGAAAGGTAATATATTTTAATGTGTTTGATGGATATAATCCACTGGTACCACCTGGCAACTTTGCAGGCGCTCGGGAGGTACCAAGGTTTGACCAATCTTGACCTCATACTCCTTGGTAATTTGACCGGTGGGATGTCGGGGGGTCAGACCGGTATGATTGTGACTGGATCCGCAGAACGTTTGAAGACTGGACGGGTATCGACATTCACCGGGCACCAGCACAAGTGGATCTGACAGTGCAAGTGGATGATTTGATGTGAACAGCAGGCATAAACAATGTATTTGATGTTATTATAAATAGGAATGAAAGTCTCATGGCAGGACAATATCTTCAGTTTTCTTTGTCTTCCCCAGTAAGTCCTGAAAATAATCCACCATAACTTGAGCTACATTTCCCTTCCCCTCTTCAATCTGACCACTTGGATTCTTAATAGAACTGATATGGTTCTGCAATCTTTTCTTCTTGATCCATGCATGAAATAATTTGGAATCCTTGTCCCCTTCCATAGCCCATTGTTGTTTAACTTGTTGGAATTTCATAAGCCTTGCTGCCTTCATTTTCCAATTCAGTTCCTTGATCAGATCTCTTTCCTCCTCTATAAGTGCATTACAATCCATGTTATTTTTAAGAGCTTCTTGAGTGTGGAATAATTTCTCCCTTACCAAATTACATTGGAGATATATATTGGAGAACTTATCCTTATTAAGCCGCCTCAGATGCTTCTTAAGACACTTCAGATATGACACTAATTGAAACATATAACTGCCATGACCTTCCTTGCTCCAAACTTCTTCCACCAGACCAGGAAAAGAGGGATCCAAAGTCCATATATCACCGAATTTGAAAGAGTAATTACATTTCATGTTACAGTTTTTGATTATGAGAGGGGAATGATCAGACAAACCTTACTCCTTAACAAAAACTTTTGCATCCATCAGATGAAACCATTCAATGTTTGCTAAAGCTCTATCAATTTTAGAATAGATTCTTCTTCCAGGGCCTTGCTTGTTGGACCAGGTGTACTTATGGTGGTCCCAAAGTGGTGAGATACAAAGTCTAGAGGGGGTGAATAGACTTTGTTACAAATTTGAAAACCTTTTTCGTTTCTTTTGAAAACGTAAAATTGAGTGTTAATTTAGAGTTCTTGTGAACTTTAGATTGTGTGCGGAATTTGGTGGGTAGAGTGAGCAGTAATCAATATGGATGGGTTAGTTTTCACAGTTAATATTATTGCAAGTAAGGGTAAAGATAAAAGAGAGAGACACGCAAACTTTAACGAGGTTCGAAGGTGGGGTAATCCTTCTACGTCCTCAAAATCCACTAACTTCCTCGGTCGTGGGAAGATTTCCAAGCCGACCTCAAGCTCAAAAGAACAGAGCTAAACTTGGAGCAATTGATCACGCGGTTAAGGATCCGAGAGGAAGGGCTTGCAAGAAGAAGTGGAGGGGCAAAGGCGAATGTGGTAGAACATCCGTCGGGCTCTTCACATAGCGGGAAGGACAAAAATAAGATAGGTCCTAAAGGTGGAGTTTCTAAATTTGCAGGAAAGTGCTACAATTGTGGCATTACTGGGCATCGTTCCTCCGATTGTAGGAAGAAGAAGCCACAGAAGAACAAGAAGAAAACCACCGAAGCCATGTGCACAGAGCTCGACAACTTGGACCTCTGCGCAGTCGTCACCGAGGTGAATCTCGTCGGGTCAAACCCGAGTGAATGGTTTGTGGACACAGGGGCCATACGTCATATTTTCTCCAACTGGAGCATGTTTCACGAATTTCAAGAGACCTCTGGTGACAAAGTCTGGATGGGCAACTCGGCCCAATCAGAGGTTCAAGGGGTTGGAAAGATTAAGCTAAAAATGACTTCCGGCAAGGAGCTAACGCTTAACGACTTGCTCTATGTGCCAGACATTTCTAAGAATTTAGTGTCGGGGTCATTGCTGATCAAACACGGCTTTCGGATGGTGTTTGAATCAGATAAGCTAATCTTATCCAAGAAAGGGATTTTTATAGGAAAAGGTTATATTTCCGATGGGCTTGTAAAGCTAAATGTAATGACTGTTCATGAAAAGATTAATAAAAATCCTGTTGCTTATGTGTGTGAGTCTTCTAGTTTATGGCATGGTAGACTAGGACATGTTAATTATGCATCTCTCCGGAAATTAATTAACATGGAACACATACCTAAGTTTAGTATTGACTTAACCCACAAGTGCAAAACTTGTGTTGAGGTTAAGTCAACTCGAAGTTCGTTTCAAACGATCGAACGGAACACTCAACCTCTAGAGTTGGTTCACACTGACTTGTGTGATTTTCGAACGCCTTCAAGAGGAGGTTATAAGTATTTTATTACCTTCGTCGATGATAGCACGAAATATTGCTATATCTATTTACTAAAAAGTAAAGATGAAGCGTTAGACACTTTCGTTCGATATAAGAATGAAGTGGAAAATCAACTCAATCGCAAGATAAAAGCATTGAGAAGCGATAGAGGTGGTGAGTATGATGCTCCACTTAATGAGTTTTGTGCACAACATGGAATTGTGCATCAAGTAACCCCACCGTATACACCACAATCTAACGGAGTAGCGGAGCGTAAAAATCGCACTCTAAAAGACATGATGAATGCGATGCTGCTTAGTTCTAGATTACCCCAGAACATATGGGGGGAGGCTGTTTTATCAAGTAATTATTTACTAAATAAAATACCTCGTAAGAAACTTGACAAAACTCCATATGAACTTTGGCATAATAGGAAGCCTTCCTATAAGTATCTCAAAGTGTGGGGGTGTCTCGCGAAGGTACTTGCACCACCACCGAAGAAGATGAAGATCGGTCCAAAAACAGTTGATGGAATCTTCATCGTGTACAGTAGTACGTCATACCGGTTCTTGGTGTATAAATCAGATAATCTTGAAATTCACAAGAACACAATCATTGAGTCACAGAATGCAACATTTTTCGAGCACATTTTCCCGTGCAAGTCAAGTGACGAAGCTAGTTCGTCCAAGCGTTCTCATTCTGAGATGATGGATAACGATGATCCAAATCAGTTGAATTCCGGTGACGATAATGAAGTCGAACATGAGACCGAATTGAGACGAAGTAAAAGAATACGAACTGAAAACACGTTCGGTTCTGACTTCATAACATATCTGATAGAATTTGACAAAGGAACTTTGTCATTTCTAATGGAAAATGAACCCGATATTCTAACCTGTTTGGTAGAAAAGGAACCACGAACCTATCACGAGGCTGTAACCTCAACTGAGGGACCTCAGTGGCGAGAAGCCATAAAAAGTGAAGTCAATTCTAATCTTCAGAATCACACGTGGGAATTGGTTGATCTCCCTCCGGGGTGTAAACCATTAGGTTCCAAATGGGTCTTTCGGAGAAAAATGAAGCCTGACGGATCCATTGACAAGTACAAAGCTAGACTTGTGATCAAGGGGTATAGCCAACGCGAGGGCTATGACTACTTTGATACTTACGCGCCTGTGACTTGGATAGATTCTATCAGAATGATCGTCGCATTTGCATCCTTACGAAACTTGGATGTTTACCAAATGGATGTAAAGACTGCTTTTCTAAATGGCGAACTAGATGAAGAAATCTATATGGAACAACCCGAGGTCTGCAAACTTGTGAAATCATTATATGGTCTTAAACAAGCACCAAAAGTATGGCATGATAAGTTTGACGAGGTAATGATGAACAACGGTTTTAAGATAAATGAGTCGGATAAGTGCGTATATTTTAAAGACACATCTAAAGGGTATGTCATTTTATGTCTGTACGTAGACGACATACTCATCGTTGGAAGCAACGATAGGATGGTCAAGTCCACCAAGGACATGTTGAACGCACGACTCGATATGAAAGATTTGGGTCTGGCTGATGTGATTCTTGGAATCAAAATACTAAGAAGACCGAATGGTCTGAACTTGAGCCAATCCCACTACATTGACAAGATCCTTGAGAAATTCAAGAAGGATGATACAAAGATAGCTAAGACGCCGATAAACGTAAATGTTCACCTTGGTAAACACCGTGGGAGTAGCGATTCTCAGACAGAATACGCTAGAGTCATCGGAAGTCTGATGTATCTAATGAGCTGTACACGGCCAGATTTAGCTTGCGCCATTAGCAAACTAAGTAGGTATACTAGCAATCCGAGTGCTGAGCACTGGAAGGCCATAGTCCGAGTAATGAGATACCTTCGTTATACTCGAGACTATAGCCTATGCTATGGCAGGTATCCACCCGTGTTGGAAGGATACACTGATGCCAATTGGATTGTGGATAATAAGGATTCAAAATCTAGAAGCGGATTTATCTTTATGCTAGCCGGTGCAGCTGTTTCCTGGAAATCCTCAAAACAAACGTTAATTGCCAGATCCACCATGGAATCTGAGTTCATAGCACTAGACAAGTGTGCAGAACATGCCGAGTGGCTTCAGAATCTACTTGAGGATATTCCAAACTGGGAAAAACCAGTTCCTCCTATTTGCATTTATTGTGATTGTTAGTCAGCAATAGGACGAGCTCAGAACAAATTGTATAATGGTAAGTCTAGGCACATTCACCGTAGACACAAAACCATTAGGCAACTTCTCAATACGAGTATTATCTCGATTGACTATGTCAAGTCGAAGGATAATTTAGCAGATCCATTAACCAAAGGGTTAACCAATGAGCAACATGAGAAGTTAGTGGTAGGAATGGGTCTGAAAGCCCTACCCTGTGCTGGGAATGTTCCATGAAGGAAAACCCAACCTAGGTGGTACCTAGGTTCAATGGGATAACCTACTTGTGGAACGAAGAACGGTCACTGTGGGGGCAAGCCGGATCCCAGACTTTACACCCCTCCGTTCCTATTGAGATATAGTGACTCCCGAAAACGATGAGGTTAGCATGGCGCTTTAATGATTCTTGAACTATTTACAACGAGGTCCAAGTGGAGTAATCGGGATACTCCTATAAGAATCACCTATGTAAGAGTGAAGTGCGGTCGCTTCAACAAAAGGATTTCGGGCTGATCATGTCTGACACTCTTGCAGAACCAGATGCGTGTTCCACGACCATAATGGGCACACCCATGAGAACGGGATGGTGGTTGGTAGAAACTTGTGTATTGTATATCATCGTTTACATAAACGGCAGTACAGTTCAAAGACATCACGTTCTACTGAACAGCCAATACAGAAGGTATACTTTACAAGGAGTAGGTTCAAAGGCATAAAACCTACCTACTCTTGCAGGTTTCAACTTCAGAGTTATTGCCAGTTACATGAATTAATTTTCATTCATGTGGGGGATTGTTGGAAATTTTAAATTAAATTGGACATTTTCGGACATAAATTCGGTAGGGTCCACAAGCTTAGGTTTTGAAATCGTAAGTAAGACTAACGTCTTGACATATGACACGTCACATTTTCGGACATTTTTGGACATTAATATCGTAAGTAAGACTAACGTCTTGACATATGACACGTCACATACGGTGCTCGGGTGAATGAGAAATTAATTCTCAAAATTGAATACTAAGGTAGAGTAAATGCCTTTGTCCCACACCGGTTTCTAAACCTTTCGTATTCTCATATTTAAGCTTAGGCTTTGAATTGAGCTTATGAAAGGAACAAGAAAAGGACTCCTCGCGCGCCCGCCGCCGCCACCCGGCTCGGCACGTCACGCGCGCGCGTCGGGGCGGGGGGGGGGAGGGCGTGGCGGGGCTAATTTTTTACGAGATCGAATTAAACACGTGTGGACACTTCGTGATTAACGAAGTGCCGTCCAAGAGGCATGCATGCACAAGGGAGGCGAAGGGGGTGCCATGGCACCTCGTATTCTCCGATGGTCCATTGAAGAGCCAAAAATTCCCTCCTATAAAAGGAGGGCTTGGCTGTAGGAGAAGAGTACACTCGAAACACTTCTCTCTCAGTTACTCGTATACTCTTCCGACAATACCCGGTTTCCGATCATCTTCTCCAGCGATAGCTCTTCGTCATTCTTGTTCGTCAGTGCTCTATTCTACCGCTCTAGACATAGCACGTTGCGGTTTTATCCTGGGAGGAGATTGCCCACGTTTGGCAAGTGCGGGAGGCGGGCAATACTACCTTAAGGAAAGCTTCGGCGACTCCGCTTTCCTAACCTTCACTTCGAGAAACTGCTCCAGCGACTCACAACCTTCGTCCGAAGTCACTGCTGTCCGTTCGTGTTCGAGCTTCTGAAGATTCTAGTTTTATTTTTCTTTTATTTTGTTGTAAAATCCGAACGTTTTATAAGTTTGGATTATTTTATTTTTATTTTCCCGTTGTAATATTCAACATCAAGTTCAAATCATACAAAAACCCTAGCAGAAATTAATTTTTTATTTTTTGAAAAATCAACAAAAATGAATCAATAGCATAAAAATTGTGTTGAAAATTATTGAAAGAATTAACCAACTAAATAGAAGAGATAGAGGATGCCTACCTATTCCGGTGAAGATACAAGATATTCAAAGCTAAGGGAGAATACCAGAGTGAAGAGTAGACTCGCGGCCAACAGAGCAGAGTAGCGAAGACCAGACGGAGGGAGAGATGAGAACGATCTACCAGAGAACGATGAAGAAGATGAGAGGAAGAAAGATGGTGAAGAACGGTGAAGGAGAGCCAGCAACGAAAAGGAAAAGGAGCATGACCCAAAAATTTGTACTAGGAAAAGGAAAAGGGAAATGACTTCCGGAATTTAAAGGGGAAGTCAATTACGGAGGTGATTTTCCATTGACCAGAGCCCTAAAATCCATTTGACTATCTTTTTGTGAGGTAATGACTTCCAAAATTCATTTTTCTGGTTTCGATTTTCGAAATGGAGCCTAAAGCAAAGCCAGGCTTGCAACTTCATGATTCAGCACAATTTTAAAAAAAATTAAAGAAAAGTAAACTGTATCTAGGACTGTTCACGTCTAGGTCTGGTTCGAAAAAACTGACTGAAACGGACCGTTCGGTCTAAAACAAACCCGGACTGAATGGATTTCGGGTCGGTCTTCGGTCCAAAAAATCTAAAGTTCGGATTTCGGTCCGGTCCGTTCCAAACTAGAAAGGATTTAGGTCCGGACCGATTGGACAGAATGTACCTTAATAACCCTATTGGACCTAAAAGAAATAAATACATAAACTCTACTTTTTAAGTTTCGTAATACACTTTGATGCTTTACTTGAATAGATATTTTAATTTATTTAATTAAAAAATTTTTTGTTAAGAAATTTTTTATTAAAAAGTTTTAAAAAAATGGCATTAGTTTTTATTATTCTACATAGTAGTCCATGTTATGTATCTATTTTTAGGATGTCTATTTTTATTCCTATTAGTATGCTACAAAATATAAAGCCTAAAATATTTTTTTTGAAAGACAAACCATCAAAATCTAAATTATATTTAATTAATCAAAATAATTAAAAAAATACATTTTTTCGGTCCAATCAGTCCGGACCGGTTCGGTCCTGTGTATTTTGGTCCAGTCCGATCCAAACCTAGATAGATTTAGGTCCTGGGCCAAACCGTTCGTGAGCCGGAAATGGACCCCCAACGCCGTTACAGTCAAATGCAATGCTCTTGGGGCCGAGGCCACCAGGGAGATGGATCTCGCCGTATCTCCGACTAGGATTCGGACCGTCGCCGGCGGCACAAGGGAGGAGCAAGCAAAGGGAAAAGAGAAACAGAAAGAGGAACAACAACGACGCCACAGTCTTCATCTCCATGATCACACTGTTATTCATTAATTTGCAAGAAATTGAACTTTGTTTGTTTGAAGATCTCTTGTAATAAAAAATGCAAATTAAATGGTGAAGAGTTGTAGTTTGCTTCTTCTTCCTTTAAAGATTGTTTTGTTGCCTTTTGCGTTTTTTGATATAGTACAAACTTCAACATATATAAATATAATAATTTGAAGATTTTTTTCTTATAAAAAATCTTTCCTACTATGCTTTTTTTTGTGTTGGTGCCTTCTTGATCATAGTTTTACTTTAGTTCTCAAATTTTGAGATTATTGTAGAAAATAATAAGAGAATATTTTGTTATATTGAATTGGCTTGTCCATACAACAAAGATTTAACCCTCTTTATATAGGAAGAGGGTAAAGCAAACAAAGAAATTTCTATTCCAATTATAATAAGAATTAAACAAACTAAGAAAAGCTTATCAAATCTAATTCTACCATAACTAGGAAAGTAAGGAAACAATCAACCCGAACCCATGTAGGATTCGACCTTCCTCCAAGGGTGTGGTCCAAGTATCCAACGTTACACCCCCCACCCTCAAGCTGGAGCATGGGGGTTACGCGTGCCCAGCTTGGACAGTAAATGCGTGAATGAAGTAGCTCCAAGTGGCTTAGTGAAGATGTCAGTTGGTTTATCTTCTTTATAATTATTTAGAAAGAAAAAAAGGACTGTTTTATTCAATACTATTTTAGATTTAATGAATGAAAATGAACACGGTCAAGAGAGGTAAAAGGATTTTAGAAGAAATCTAAAATGGGACAAATGTGTTTATACACAAACCATAAGGATGCTATAACTTAACCAAAGGCATGTATGCCAGCTTTATTTGCTCTTCAACCAAAGGCATGTATGTATGCCACCTTTATTTGCTCTTCATCTTACAAAGTGACTGGACATGAATGGATACTTAATGCTCTTCATCTTACAAAGTCACGATACTTTTTTTACATTGTCTAATGATTGAAGAAAACAAAGTGAAAATTACAAATTTAACTATAATGAAATATTCAATAGTTGAAATATAACAATTCCATTTGAAATGCAATGTTACGACTTATCATCAACGACTAAACAAGAACACCACCTTAAAGATGCCTACACGAACAAGTCAAACAAGAACACCGCATAGATACGCCAAATTATTTCTCTTTTTTCTAATTAGACATGAATAAGTTCCCATGAGATTCACACATTGAAAGTCAACTAATTCGCATAGTTGAGATTAATTGTAGTTTTTGTAAATGTAAAGTCACATGTCTAAATTCTGATAAGGCATAATTTATTGTGTTTGACCCCGTTCCGCATCAGCATTAGAGATTAGCTTTAACGTTTTAAAAAGGTTTTCTAACAGTGGTTTTTAACGTTAGCGTTATCAAAATGATAAGGTTAATAAAAAACGTTATCTTCAAACTGAGCCTTTTAACATGTTCATTGTAGCAGAGTTAGAATGAGCCAATTGTAACCCAATTGGCATGCCAAAGTGGAGTACCAATATCATACATCTGGATGTATGATATTTTCCGTACATCCGCTTGAATACTCATTTTCAAGTAACTGAATATTCAATTTCTACTATCAGAGTACACATTTTTGAGTAATTGAATATTAATTTTCGAGCATAATTAAATTTTATAAAAACAAATATTCATTTGCTCGAGAATGAATATTCCGTCATTTGTAAATGAGTACTCCCTCTAGATTTTCATCTAGATTAGGGTAACCACAGAAGTTTACAAATAATATGGGGGTTTTGGTGCTCCTTTTTGTAAACCACATGGGTTTACATTCTATTAACCCCGCATATACCCTCCAAAAGTGAGTCTACTCACTTACTCTTATTTCAACGGAACCTGTAGGATCAACCAATCAACGGAACCTCGCCTCGCACTCGGGATGAGAATCCTTAAACTGGCGCTGTTTCTGCTGCTATTGCGGACGTTCCCGGCGGCTCACCGGCAAGCCGTTGCTTCCGAGGAGTGCAACGGCGGCATACCGTCGGTGGAATGGCGGACCCTAACTAAACGCAACTATTCCTCAGAGATCCGTCTCCATCCCCACCTTCTCCTACTCGTGACGGTCCCATGTATGTAACTCTCCTCTCCTCTATTCCTTTTGTTTATAATCAATTTCTTCTTTTCTGAATTCGGATATCCGGTTCATTTGGTTTATTTCTTCTTTTAGCAATTTGGCTAATTTTGATTATGAGAATGAATTTTGATTCATTTAGCGTATTTATTAAAAATTTATTAACTTTATCAAATAAAACCTGAAATTTCACATTTCGAGTTAAGAAAGACTAGTTTTAACGCAAAACAGGCCTAGAGTGTTCTGTAAATAATTCAAGAAAAGCTCAAATTGAAGGCTGACTGAAAATAATGGCTGGCCGAAGCCACATTTGTTCGCTTTACCCTAAAATCTTCTATTTTTATGTTCCAGTGGTAGTGCAGGTTCTTCTTTTACATATCCTTTTGGATCAAGTTAAAGTATTGTGTTTGTTTATAGCATTGACCTTAATGTTCCTTGACCAGGGTGTGGAGAGTCTAGGTCTCTTATGAAGGCGTTAGGTCATGCATTAACCATTGAACCATGCAAGTTTGGCTCCCTAAAGCTGAGGGTACTATTTAGGAATAATGAGAAAATGCTGGCCGATGCTCTTGGTGCTAACAATGGAATTTCAGTTGTATATTATCATCATTCTGTGTATTACAAGTATCGCGGGAGACTTAGAGCTCACAACATATTATCATCCATCCATTATGTCATGTCATTATTGCCGGAAGAACTTCCTCTGAAAGCTGTGAACACGCCAGAAGAGCTGAAAGATTTCCTTGGTTCAACTGACAAAGCTTTACTTCTCTTTGAGTTCTGTGGATGGACTCATAAAGTGCTGGCATCAAGAAAAAACAATGGAACAGATTACAGGTTTGGTATGTATAACTTCTTCAATTTCTTTTTATTATTGTTATCTTACTACCGTTGTTATTGTTGTTGTTTTGGGGGAGGAGGCTAATGTAGTTTTTATTTCTCCCCTCTCAGTTAGGAATGAATGATGATTTATCACGACACTATCATTGCGGAATTATTTAATTTCTGACATATCTACAACCACTATCACGTCTAATGCCCAATTACCAACACAGCCTTATATTTACTGTAGTTCATAGTTATTCTAATTTACTCGTAGTAAACAGTAGAGGGATATGTTCTGCTTTGTCTAACTTAAGACATAATTTTGCTTTGTTTTTTCTTCAAAGTCCTTGAAGTAGGGAGATGGCACATTCCATGAGTGAGCAGACATGTGCAGTATTCAATTGTGTTCTCGTTAGATGGTGCATGATTACTTTTCCATATGATTGAAGGAAATATAAAAATAAATATTAAAGGCTGATTACTTTGCTAATTGATTTGAAATTCTCTTTCTCGATACCAGTATATATTAAAGGCTGAATTACAGTTTAACTACTCTTGCTCCGTCCATGATTTCTCTTCTCGAGTTCCATAGCTAACACATAAGAAATATGGTACCATCAGCTTAACAAGTTTCACATTACTAATGGTCAGGATTGATTTTTAGAATGGAAAATTTTGCTTTCATTACAAATTTGGTTGACAAGTTCAACTTTTTACTAGATGAGGCTTCTTTCAATTCATGTAGTTTCCTTCTTCATATGATAGTTCACAAAATTATAGCTTAATTAAGATCAGAGTATTAGACAGTATATTCATTGATGCTCCTGTATGTGGTATTTCTATATCCTTGTTTTTTTCTTTATTTTTTATTGCCTTTCTGCATTCTCTCTTGGACTAAGTTGCATTAAGAAGACCTTGACATTGTACAATTTAAATTTTGGGCAGGTTTGAATGAAGAGTACCATGGAGCAAGTGTTATTGAGAGTAAAATTCAGCAGGTGTGCAGATATTTCTCATTCTAAGGTCAGTGTTGGAATATGAAGAATATTTCACTTGTAGCTTAAACATATATGTGTATTTTTTCTCAAACTAGGAGTCCACAAATGAGAAGATGGACTGCAATATTGATGATGAGAGTGGTTTCATTCCCCACCTTAACAAGTTTTCTTTAGGAAATGAAAGTGCTATCTTGGAGGCTGAAAATATGTCACATGATGGATCTTCTTGTGAAATTAAGGAATTTGTACATTTTAAGTCTTTCTTAGAAAAATCCGTAATAGTTCCAAGAGAGTTTTTTCTTCCCCCAGAAAGGCTAAAATTTGGTCTAGTTACCAACCGATCACTTCTTTCCATAATAAATATTGAAGATCCAGGATCCTGGTTGATGACACTGCAAGTTGCTGGATGCCCAACTTGTTCACACGTTCTCAAAGAAGGCGATGATCTAAAAGCTGCTATACAGACTCAAGCATCACTCATTACAGAGGCAAGCTTTAATTTCCATTTATGATGTTGTCTATTCATCCAGCATTCCAGCTTATATATGATATAGCAAGACATGAGCTATATTTAGTTGATTGTCTCTCAGCATGTTGTATATCTCACTCTCCATGTGTGGATAATTGACTAAGTGGTTCTTTTAAAGAATGCTTTTAAAAAAAGAACATGGAAATAACTGTCTTGTTCTATTTAGAGCAATATCAAACTTTGGCTGGATTTAACTATCTCGGTGTTTGTATCCATTATTCCATTTTTAGATTTTAGTCCTACTGCAAGCTATGCTTGAAAATTCCCAATTTACTATTACTCCAAAAACAGTACATTTTTTCATTGTTATGCTATCAAACGTTTTTTGGTATTAAAACCTTCTACTATGTGTGTTAATTAATAGAGTTTGTTTTATATATTGCAGCTGGAAAATGATGCAGATGATGATGGGCTATCTCTTCCGGTGAATAAGCCTTCAATTCTCCTTTTTGTTGATAGATATTCAGATTTGCTAACTTTGAGAGAAGATAGCAAGAAAGCTATGGATGCTTTTAGAGAGTTAGCTCTGCAGTATCATAATTCTCATCTCGAGACTGGAAAAGATTATAAAATTTCAGAAAAGGCATCTATCAAAGCAATTCAAGAATTGAGTACTTCCAAACACCCTAGACGTGATCTGTTTGAAGCAGCACAAAAGATAAATGTTAATGACAAGATGTCCATTGTTATAATGAATGAAGGGAGTCATGTCTCTATTGAAAACCTTGCTGATATTCAAGGCAGTTCTTTGCATGAAATATTGACATATGTGCTTAAGCAGAAAAAGGAGCTGAAGTTAAGCAAAATCGCTAAAGGTGCAGGATTTGAACTCCTATCAGAAGATCTTAATATCAAATCTGGAGTCACTTTTGCACAAGAGGAAGGTGATCACTCTGACCAAGTGTATGAATCCCCTAAAGGCATTGCACCTGCAGGTACTTATGATTCTGAGGCAGAACATCAGTCTGATCAACTTTCTAGGGGTAACCCCGAAGGTGTTAGAGAAGCTACAGGGGGATTGGATAGGATTCAAGTGCCAGAAAAGGAAAATACTTCTCATGGAGAGAATGTGGCACAACCAGAATTCCCTGGTGCTGAATCGTTTGAGCAATCTAGTGACAAGAGTGTTAGTGAGCATCCTCATGTACAAGAAGCCGCTGACAGTTTAGTAAGTGGGAGGATCTTTGGTCTTGAGATAGAAGAGGAAAATCAAGAGAAAATGGTTAACATGGAAAATGTGCAATCTTTGGTTGCACAGAGAGAAGATCACTCCAATAACCCCTCTGAGAGAGATTCTAGAGGAGTTCAAGAAGCTACACTGGACTTAGATATGATTCAAGTGCTAGAAAGGGAAAATGTTGTGTATGAAGAGCATGTGGTACAGCCTGAACCCACTGCTCATGAATCATTTGAGCAGCATACTGACAAGATTTTTATTGAACATTCACATATACAAGAAGCCACTGATAGTTCTGGAGATGGAAGGATCTTTGAGAAAACTCTTGAAGTGGATGAGAAAAAACAAGAGAGAAGCTTCGGAGGGTCCTTCTTCTTCTGTGATGGTCAATACAGATTGCTTAGAACTCTAACCGGAGGGTCAAGTGTTCCAGCTGCAGTAATTGTGGATCCCAGTGTGCAACAACATTATGTTTTAGATGAACAGTTGGTTTTCAACCATTCTTTGCTAGCTGAATTTCTTGGTAGATTTATTGATGGGACTCTTCCTCCGTATCAACAATCTGAGCCTTTTGCTCCAAGTCCCAGAGTTGCCCCAAATCCACCATTTGTCAACAAAGATTTTCATGAAGCAAACTCCATACCTCGAGTAACAGCAAATAGCTTCACTGAGCTGGTTCTTGGAAACCATTCTGACACTGTGAATGGTAGTATTTCTCATAGTCAAGATGTCTTAGTTCTCTTCAGCAATAGTTGGTGTGGTTTTTGCCAGAGGATGGAGTTGGTTGTTCGTGAAGTATACCGCACAATTCTGGGATATTCAAATATGCTTAGGACTGCGTCTGTTGATGGTAAGATGTGCAGTTCATTGCTCAAGTAATACAGTAATATATCTAGAGACACTAACTAGGCATACTGTTTGGCTCTTATCTTAAGCGGTACTTTTTGAAAAAGGATAGTTCAAGTTATCTTTATTGTCTTCAAGTGAACTGGGGAAAAATAAATAAGCACGGGAAGGTGTTCAATTTTTTTGCTGAATCAACATAAACGCGGATTACACTAGAACACACTTGATTAAACAATTCTTTAAGGCTTGCTTTTTTATGATCAATCGTAGCGAAAATACAATTGCGGTTATGAATTGAAGGTGATATTTCTCATTTTTATACCTAAGAGAAATCTGCAGTCTGTTGTTAAAGGACCTTGACTTTCAAATTTTTGGAAAGTAGACACAAATTTAATTTCCATGACTTGCAAAATAAATTTCTTAGGTTTTATTATAAGTGCAATCAATCCCTTTTGTGCCTATAAATAAAATATGACTTGTCAAGAAAAAAGTACTGATATGAGCTGTTCTAGAGATCTTTTTGGCATTGATGTGTAAATGAACTTGTGGCAGATATTCTGAATAACACCACGGCAAAGCTTCCATCAATTTACTTGATGGATTGTACATTAAATGACTGCAGTTTGATCCTGAAACCTTTGATTCAGGTATGACATGTTGTGTTTGTCACTACGAGTGTCACATGTGACACTTCCTTTTAATTGTTCAATTGGTGCAATAAAGAAAATTTCTGTTTTGGGAATGCTTATACTAAGATGGATGTGTTGTAATTCTTCAAGTATTTATCCAAAATATGCAGAGAGAAGTTTATCCATTGCTGTTATTATTTCCTGCTGAGAGCAAGAATTCGATTCTCTATGAAGGAGATATAGATGTATCTGAGATCATCAAGTTTATTGCTGGACATGGCAATCATTCTTATGGCCCCATTAGAGATAAAGGTAAGCTTCCTTGAAATTTCTCTGTATTACTCTTTTGCTAAACTTGGGTCTTTATGTTTTCAATTCACTAATATGTATATTGACTGTAATCTTTTCCTTTTTTTAGATCCATTAAGGACTGGAAGTGAAGATCAAATGGACCAGGTTAAACAAAATGACATTCCTCACGCAAACAATTTATACCATGAAATTCTACTTAAAGACACAATGCTAAAGTCAAGGGCCAAGTACCCACAAATATCAAGTTCCTTGAACAGTTTGCATCAAACCCCCCTTCAAGTAGATGTGGGTTCCATGCTGACTGCAACATACATGCTACTGAATTCTAATCCGTTTGGCGAATCTAAAATTCTAATTGTGAAAGGAGACATGAGCTATGGATATGAGGGTCTAATTGTGAACAAGCGGCTCAGTTGGGAATCCTTGGAGGAAATCGAAGAAGGTTTAGAGTTTTTGAAGATGGGCCCTTTATCTTATGGCGGTCCTGTGATGAGACCTGGAATGCCTCTTGTGGCCTTGACAAAAAGATCCATTGAAGATCGCAACTACCCAGAAGTCCTTCCACACATATACTTCATCGATCAAGTGGCCACGCTCCACTTACTAATTGAAATGAAATCTGGCAATCAGTCTGTCAACGGCTTTTGGTTCTTTTTGGGGTTTTCGAGTTGGAGTGGGAACCAACTGGTTAATGAGATTATTGAAGGCGCTTGGACTTTGAACAAAGGCAATGAAGAGCAACTCGATTGGCCATTCATGTAAAACATGAAGCATCAAAATCTTGCTGGCAAAGGGTGCAAGGTCTATGTAAGATTGGGATAGCATACCAAACCTGCCCATAGAATGATCAAAAATGTGTATTACCTGTTTTAAAACGAGTCTTGTTCAACCAAGGTATGGTTATTTTATTTTGGTAAATTACACCTCTTAAGGTTGAGATAGCATATATTGTAACACGTACAAAACCTGCTCGTAACATGATCCATGTGTATTACATGGCCTTAGAATGAGTCTCGTTTGACCAAGGTATGCACATTTAATTTTAGTAAAGTGCAACTCATAAGGTTTAATACAGTTATATATTAAATGTGCATGTTTTTGCATATTTATAAATGTGCATGTTTCGTACACCGGATTGATTGAGCTCCAAATAGTCTTGAGCACCTCATGTCAATACTTACGGCTAAGCTTTTAAAACGTGAATCAGAAATAATACTCTCTCCGTCTAGGAATGATGTTTCTGGTTTGACTTTTCCTCATTTTTTAGAGGGCTTGACAAAAGGTATAGAAAGACTAAAATACCCTTGTTTAAATAATGGGGGAAGGGGGTTATAACCTTGCCGGGAATGAAGAAGTGGAAAGCACTATTTATAATCATTACTTAATGTATGGGTATGTTACTGTTAAGTCACAAAATGATATATTTTATTCTCTCATTTCTTAGTAGTTTTATAATATTTTATATGTATTTTATACCAAAACCACTATAGTTTCTCACATTCAGCAGTCTAGGCTATAGTTTATATTTTATGCATAAAATGCAAGATTTTGAGCATTTTTATATTGGGTTATTATTTCCTTGATACTAATATTTTTTACACAAAAGTTGAGGTAAAGAATAAAGTTGGACATTGGACCTCAAAGACAATGGAAGAGTAAATGAGATTGGGCCGAGCCCAAATATTAAATTGGCCCAACATCTACCCATTTATTAAAATAAAACAAAAGAGAGAGAAAGGAAATAATAAAAGAAAGAGAGTTTGTGGTTACGTGAAGCACAACCCCGCAGGAGACGGGAAGAGTTCGACGAAATCAGAGATTAAGGCTCCGTTCCGTTCAACTTATTTTTTCTAATCTGATTCTAATAAGTTCTGATCTAATCCGATTGGATCTGATTGAATCTGATCTGATTGGATCTGATCTGATCTGATCTGATTGGATCTGATCTGGTCTGGTCTGGTCTGATCTGATTAATTATGATTTAATTTAAAATTTCAAATCAATAATTTAATTTGACTTTATAATAACGTTTGAAAATTGTAATGATAATTCATATTATAATATAATCAATATTTTTTATTTAATGATTATTTTTTAATAAAATAAAAATAGTTAATTCACATATTAGAATAATCATTCATGTTATAATGTAATAATATTTTTTATTTTATGATTATATTTTTGTAAAATTAGAATTATACATTAGAATAAATATTGAATTTAGATATAAATTAAAAAGTAATTAAATTTAGATAATCAATATATAGAAGATATAGTATTTTTATTAAAATATCTCATCCTTATAAAAGATCAAAAGTTTAGAAACTCAAATTACAAGTAGCAATAAAAATATATTTTAAAAGTAGATTTAGATTGACATTGTCAATGTATTTTAAAACTAATTTTTCTGACATCTAATAGTTAAGGATTACTTTCTCAGTTTTCTATTTAATCTATTTCTAAACTTTATTCTTTTTCTAATAATAATAATAATAATAATAGTAATAATAATAATAGTAATAATAATAATAATAATAATAATAATAATAATAATAATAATAATTCTTGATAAGATCTGATTTTAATAAGTCCTGATCTGATTGGATCTGATCTGATCTGATTCGATCTGATCTGATCTGATCTGATTTGATTTTAATAAGAATAAGAAAAAATTGAAAAAATAAATTGAAGCCTAAATCTGTCGGCGGCTTATAAAAGAAGAGAAGATTGGCAACAGAGGCGGGGCATATACGGGATTAGATATAGAGAGACCAGAAGAGAGCAGGAGAGGGAAACGGAACAAGAGCCGACCTAGGGTTTCGACCCTAGGCCCGGCTCGGCTCGGCCCGGCTCGGCTCGGCTCGGCGATAATTACTCCGGCGATGGTGGCGACGGTAGGGCTCTGGCCATGGATAGATGTGGAAGATGATGGTCTCTGGTTGTGGTGCATCATGGGAGTTCAATCGAACAAGGAAGAAGAACAGTCAGGGGAGTTCAATTACCTACTCCCTACTTGTTTTTTTGTTATTTACTTTTATTAGGATTTTAAGTTTATTAATGTCCAATTGGTAGATTTAAATATCCATTATTAAATATGTTTACTTTTAATTCCATACTTGTTGAATGTTTAAGTTATATTATAAGTGTTGATTTGTTTGAGTGTTGATGTTGAATTGTTCAAGTTATGATTTATTGATTGATTATTGTATATGAAATTATAAAACCTTCTTAGGCTGAATTATTTGACAAAACAATTAAATATTTGATTTGGTTGTTCTTGTTGAGTTAATTTGACTTTGAAGGAAATTTAGCCTTTGGGCTCCTGTCAAATCTAAATTCGAAAAGTTGTTTGAAAATTGGTCTTTGTTTAAACTTGGATTAGATCAATTTAGAAAGGCCGCCTAAACTCTAATTCTAATTGACAGTTTTAAGATCTTGAGTACGTTTATAGCTGAGATTTTCAAAACACAATTGTCACCTGATTAATACTTAATTGGCTTCCCACCCGATTTTTATTAATCAGAGTTTTCATGCTGGCTATGTTAAATAGATATAGTTTACTGCATAGTTGTTAAGTGATGTTTTCCAAAAAAATTAATGCTCTATTTTTAATTAAATCTGGGGGCAGGTCCTTGGGTTGTTAAGAATAGTAGGGTCTAAAGTTAGTGCAGGTCTTAACATAGTCTATATTAGGAAGAACATGGAAGAACCTCATGGTCTTCTTCCGCTTAACCCTGAGTTTAACTAGCAGTTTAGTTTCAAGGTTAAGATATAATTCATTGATTAATCAGATTTGTTTGGTTTATTTTCTATTAAAAACTATTAAGTATTTTCAAAATGGTTTAAGTTAATTATTATTGTCTACGTTTTTATAAAGTTTAAATGTGTGTTTGTTTCTCCCTTAGTGTCTTTTGAGTTCGAGTTGCTGCTGTGGTTCCATCTCGTATTTGTTATCTGTTATCCTTTATTTTTATTTTATTTGTTTTTATATCCTTCTATATTTATCATTCAAACCCCCCATATCTGTTAGTTTAGTTTTAGTTAGTTTTTAGTTAATAAAAGTGACAAGTGAACTGATTTTAATAGCCTAAAAAATATCTTTCTTTGTGAGATCGACCCTTACTTGCCCTATCTATATGTTTTAATGAATATTGAATCATAAAGGGGGTTAAAAGTTAAGGAAATAATAAATTAATTTGTAGGTGTTACGACATGCCTAACAGTTACATCAAATCACAAATTACATTACAAAAAAATTCAAAATGAATTCACATTCCCTCCTGGTTTTAAATCACCCGCCCAAAAAAGCTCTAAAACCCATTCAAAGGGTTTATTACAATCATTTAAACCCCCAGATCTTTCCTTTTTCAGCAGCCCCTTCTTTTCTTCATCCTGCTCTTCCCCTCCCCTTCTTTTTCATTCACTTCTTCATATCCTTCCTTTTTATCTTTTCCTCTTTCATTCCCTTCTTCATTTCCTTCCATGTTGTGCATCTTTTTTTGTCATTACCTCTCTATATTCTGGTACCCTGCATATATAAACCATAATGAACTGTGACAT